AACTGACCCCAAATATTCCATTCCCACTGCTTGTACCCCAAACTGACCCCAAATATTCCATTCCCACTGCTTGTACCCCAAACTGACCCCAAATATTGCATTGCCACTGCTTGTACCCCAAACTGACCCCACATGGTGTATTTTGCTGCTATTCCCTGTGTTTTTCTTTAAAAAACCCACAAGTCGCGCCGATTTCCCGGGCGTGTTTGCAGACAAACCCCCGATTTCCCTGCTTCCCGTGTTGTTTTTCTCCATAAAACCCGAATTGTGCTGATTTTGCCCTTTTTTGGGCGCAGGTGCTGATGGAGACGCTGGGAGCGCTGGGAGCGCAGTGCCGCTGGGCCGCCTGCAACATCTACTCCACCCTCAACGAGGTGGCGGCGGCGCTGGCCGAGAGCGGTACGGCCCAATTCCCGGGAATCCCCCGGAATTCGTAGGGAATTCCTCCTGGGTTTTGTAGGGAATTCCTCCTGGGTTTTATGGGGCATTGCTTCTGTGTTTTATAGAAAATTCACGGGGTTTCTAGAGAATTCCTCCTGGGTTTTATAGGGAATTCCTGCATTTTATAGATAATTTCTGCTGGATTTTATGGGGAATTCCTCCTGCATCTTATAGGGAATTCCTTCTGCATTTTATAGAGAATTCCTCCTGGATTTTATAGAGAATTCCTGCGTTTTATAGGGAATTCCTCTTGCATTTTATAGGGAAATCCTCCTGCATTTTTTAGGGAAATCCTCCTAGATTTTATAGGGAATTTCTTCTAGATTTTATACGGAATTCCTGGATTTTACAGGGAATTTCTCCTGGATTTTATGGGGAATTCCTTCTGCATTTTATAGGGAATTCCTTCTTCATCTTATAGGGAATTCCTTCTGCATTTTATAGAGAATTCCTCCTGCATCTTATAGGGAAGTTCTCCTGGATTTTATGGGGAATTCCTCCTGCATTTTATAAGGAATTCCTGCGGTTTATAGGGAATTCCTCCTGCATTTTATAGGGAAATGCTCCTGCATTTTATAAGGAATTCCTCCTGGATTTCATAGAGAATTTCTGCTGGATTTTATAGGGAATTCCTTTTTCATTTTATAGGGAATTCCTCTTGGATTATATATAACACCCAAGTGTTTTACCTGGGTAATTGCCAAGGATTTTACCTGGATAAATCCAGAGGTTTTACCTGGGTAAGACGAAGGATTTTACCTGGGTAATTCCCGGGATTTTACCTGGGTAATTCCAGGGATTTTACCTGGATGCAATCAGGGATTTAACTTGGCCAAGTCATGAGATTTACCTGGATAAATCCAGGGATTTTACCTGGGTGAGGCCAAGGATTTTACCTGGATAAATCCAGGGATTTTACCTGGGTAAGGCCAAGGGTTTCTCCTGGATAAAATGAGGGATTTTACCTGGATAAATCCAGGGATTTTACCTGGGTAA